AGAAATGTTGTCAAAAATGATCTTTGGAAAGTTAATTTCATACTGGACTGGTTTAATATCAGACGGAGAGAATAAAAAATGAGATATTTACTCCTGTATTGGCATAAAAGTCTTGATGAAGATGAAGACTTTTTCTTTTTAATCAGGATAGAATTATTACTGACATTTTTTTTGCAATTGAAAAAGTTTAAACTGACACAAAGTATCGTCATTTTATAATAACCGAGTTTCTATAATAAGTAGAATCATGTTTATCCAGACTTTGTTGCATATAAATCAGCTTTTATTAGAGGAGGACAGATCGATTCAAAATATTGATAGTATTGATATGAAGTTATCAGTATTTTATAACATCAGGGGAATTATATTTATTAGCCCTTTTAAGCCTTACATTATTCTCCAATATGGCGACAGCAGAAGTTGTGAAAGAAATGTCAGTCAGTTGCTCAAACAAGAATAATTGATCACAATTTTTGAGTATTTATTACCGAATTGATTTGTACATAATCGCAATTCAGACTTTTTAATTCTGGACCTACAAATTAACCAAAGTGTGAAAAAATGAAAACTAATAAAAACTAAACAATATTAAATTAATAATGACTAATGAAAATGTGTAAACACACTGTAAAAATGAATTAAAACTAACAAAAGTCACGTTGAGATCACGCTAAACTATAATTAAAAATTCAACCTAATAAAACTGCAGTAAAAAGTTGATATTCCTGTTGTGTGTGAATGCACCCTAACTGAACCCTTAAATTAAAGAGGATTTTTGTTTTAATGCTTCATTGTGGAAACTGAAACTCTGATTTAATGACACACCTGAGTTTAGATTTATCTAAATAAACACTGGTTCTGCTTTTCAAACACTTCAGACAGTTGAAATCCATTCACCTTTCCTGTTGCTGTGACTAAAATAAGACAAGGCTCTGCCAGCTGGGAACATGTGGAGATAAACTGATGGCAGAAAAATCTCTTTCAAAGTGACGACCTGACTGCGGCTTCGCAGCGTTAAGCGTGTCAGTCGCTCCGTTTCTTCCTCTCGCTGCTTCTCTCCGCTTCAGGTAATTGTCGCCTCACAAACGCCGCGGCCATCCGTCCTCGGCCGGCCAATGGCGCGCACCTCGCCCCGTGACGTCAGCGGCGGGCCACCCTGCCGGATGATTGCGGTTGCCATGCCAACGGGCCGAGGCTACAATCGCAGACGAGCGCGCTCCTGCCGGCAATAAGCGGCCTAAATGAGATCGATGTGGAGTGTGTGTGCCGTCACGACGAGGAGAGCGGCTGCAGATTCACACTCCCTTCAGGATGTAGTGACAGCGTGAAAACAGCAGCTCATTTACATTCCTCTCTGAGGCGCCGCCGTCACTTCAGGGGCTTCATATTCAGAGCATTGATACGTTCAAAGACAATGTGGAGTTTAATAAACCTAAAGCTGAACGAGTGTTGCCACTTAACCTGATCCTCTTGCAGGAAGAGTTTAATATTTTACAGACAAATTCAAGTTTCTGCAGCCCTTTATCTATTAAAATGAACAGGTGGTTCTGTTTGAAGTCCGTCTTTCTGCAGAGAGAAACCGCATTTACCAGTGGGAAACATTTACAGAGGCAGTTTTATGTGTTTCCCAGGCATATAAAGACATTTTCTAACATAATCAAGTATATAGATACTGTGTAGATCAAATATGACCCAAAAGAAATTTTACTTTGTAATTTAACACTTTGAAATTGGGTCCCTGTCTCTTTAAGAAGCTCCTGCTCTTCCTGAAACTCCACCTTCAGGAAGTCAGTCAATCAATCAAATTTTATTTGTATAGCACATTTCAGCAGCAAGGAATTTCAAAGTGCTTCACATAATTAAAAGAAAAACAGCATGTGACATTGAATAAACAGTGAGAAAGAGATTTTGAATAAAAAAGATAAAAACATTAAAACCCGCGCCCCTTTTAGGACTTCAGTTAAACATCTTTTAACCGGGACTCTAACCCTCTGGGACTTTAGTCAAAAACACAGTTTGACAAGGACTCTAACCTCTCGGAAATTCACTTACGTTTATTTTGTAATCGTGTTAGTTGAAACGCCGTCAACTGGGACTCTAAACCCCATAGGACTTTAGTTAAACGTTGTTTAACTGGGATGTTTTCCGGGGAGGCTTTACATCATTAAAATGTAAATAGTGAGAAAGAGAAATAAAAAGAAATTAATAGATTAAACATTAAAAACATCAAAGACATCAAAACCCGCACTCTAATCCTAATTTAGCCATAAGCAACTCTAAACAGGTGGGTTTTAAGTTGAGATTTAAAGGCACCCAGTGTTTCAGCTGTTTTACAGTTTTCTGGAAGTTTGTTCCAAATCCGTGGTGCATAGAAACTGAATGCTGCTTCTCCTCGTTTGGTTCTGGTTCTGGGGATGCAGAGCAGACCAGAACCAGAAGATCTGAGGGGTCTAGATGGTTGGTACAGCAATAACAGATCTTTAATGTATTGTGGTGCTAAACCATTCAGTGATTTATAAACTAACAACAGTATTTTAAAGTCTATTCTTTGAGCTACAGGGAGCCAGTGTAGGGACTTTAAAACTGGTGTTATGTTCTCTATCTTCATGGTTTTAGTGAGAACAGCAGCAGCAGCTTCTGGATCAGCTGCAGCTGTTTGATTGATTTATTAGTCAGACCTGTGAAGACGCTGTTGCAGTAATCAATGCAGCTGAAGATAAACGCATGGATGAGTTTCTCTAGATCCTGCTGAGACATCAGTCCTCTAATCCTGGAGATGTTCTTCAGGTGATAGAAGGCCGACTTTGTGACTGTCTTAATGTGGCTCTGAAGGTTCAGGTCAGAGACCATCACTACTCCCAGGTTTCGGGCCTGATCGCTGGTTTTTAGTTGTAATAACTGAAGCTGTGCAGTCATCTGAAGTCATCTCAACATGGCTCCTCTATTAACCCTTTAACATTTTTGCCAGCGTTGAAGTAAGATGTAGCTCTTAATGAGCTGAGCTGGCCCACCAGGTGTTTGCTGATTTCTGCTGGCTAGTCTGAAGGAGCTGAGTGGGGGAGCGGTGCTCTATGAGGAAACTTGGAAAAGCCATAAGTGGCTCTTTGGACCTTTCACAATAGAATAACTTTGGCTAAAAATTAAAAACAACCAACTAATGTTGATACATTTCCATATAACAAATGCAGGTTTTAAAACAATTAGATTTGCATTGAATTTTTACAAAGAATGACAAGAAAAGTACTAGAATATGTTTTCAGATCTGTTTTTAGCTTGAAATCTGTCCATTTAAATTTAAACAAATTTTAACAAATTAAATAAAAATTTTTTTACATCATTCTTTATTCTACAGAAAAAAATTCACCCTCTTTTTGCTCAAATTTATCTTTATTTTAAATCCTAAAAATAATAATAAAATGATGAATCTTTAAAAATAAATTTCTAGTAGTAGATCTTTATCTAAATTATAAATAGTCAGAAGACATTTTTGGCTCTAAATGAGTTTTATTTGACTAGCCGGATAGTGAAAATGACTCTTTCACCTGTTGGTCTCAGGTTGTCATTCACAATGACAGGGGTGTCAAACTCCAGTCCTCAAGGGCCGCTGTCCTGCAGTGTTTAGATGTGCCACAGGTAAAAAACAGTGGAATGAAATGGCTTAATTACCTCCTCCCTGTGTAGATCGGTTCTCCAGAGCCTTGCTAATGACCTAATTATTCTTTTCAGGTGTGGTGCAGCAGAGGCACATCTAAAAGTTGCAGGACAGCAGCCCTTGAGGACTGGAGTTTGACACCCCTGTCACGAGAGGACCCAAATTTGGGTCCTCTAGTGACAGACAGGTTAAGTTATAAAGGTTGTAGACCTCTGGCCTAGTCAAAGTCCAAACCTCGACTGAACTGAAATGCTGAACTTGAATGAACTGAAGCAACAGAGTGACACCTGAGCTTTAAAATGACTAAACTGACCTTTTCTGGGATTGAAACTCCCCGCCTTCCTCTTCCTCTCTACCAATCACTCCATCACCAGAGCAACTTCTGGTTCCTCCAACCAGGCAACAATCAGCCTCCTGCTATGAAACGTGCAGAAAATAAAGTTGTGTTCAGCGGCTCAAAGTAAAAGACAGCGACAGACACCTCTGAGCCAATCAGTGTTCAGCTTTTCAGCTTGTTTTTGACCCCATTACGGCGCCTCCTGCAGGGCAATCAGTGACACTCTTTAGGAGAGGTGTCAGATGAACAGTTCTGTATATATTCATTCATTTAAAGAGGCAGTATAATTTAAAATTGACTCTTTTTTCAGCTTTTAGCTTTATTATAATATGATGTAACCTGATTCCTTCATGCATGTTTGAGAAATCCTTTAATCTCCATGGCAACCATTCAACTGTGCAAATCGATAGGTGGAGCTAGCTCCGCCTTCAAGACGCAGCTCAAGCACTGCCTCTTTTCCGTAATTTTAACCATTTCTCATTTTCTGCAAATAAATACAAACTTTTTGCTTGGAATTTTGGAGACATGTTGTGGGTAGTTCACAGAATAAAAGAACAATGTTCATTTTACTCAAACATAAACCTATCGAATGTAAAACCAGAGAAACCGATCGTTTTAAGTGGTCTCTTGAATTTTTTCCACAGCTGCATCGCATTTTTATAACAACAGAAGGTAACATAGTTACTTGATTTTGCTACACTGCAAAAACACAAAATCTTACCAAGAAATTCTGCTCTACTTTTTAGTGCAAATATCTTAGTACACTTACAAAAAAACTTCTCAGCAAGAAGTATAAACTTGTTTTAAGTCAATCATTCCTTAAAATTGCCAAAGAACTACTAGTTCTATTGGTAGATTATTTTCACTTAAAACATTCTTCCCATAAGTGAAATAACCAAATGCTAGATTTTGCGTTTTTGCAGTGTATAAAGTGGCACTATAACATTTATTTAAGATGTAATTGATCTCCTTTAGTGTTTTATTATTAAAAGGTTACGTCTGTGTCCCCAGTGCTCCTACGTCCCCCCCTGTGAGAGGGACAATCAGAAGAACAAAGACAACGTTCTGCTGTGGGAGGATTACTTCACCAAAGAGGTCAGCAGCCAGTCCTTCACCTGCTTCTTCAACCAGCAGAGGAGGTGAGACACAAACACACACTCGTCCGTCTCCAGGTGCGAGACGGACAAATTGGAAGCAGGAGGACGTGTGAGGGTGTGAAAGCTGACAGATCAATCTCACCTCAGGAGATTACAGACGGCCGGCCGGCTTTGAGGAGCTGCTGTGTCTGATAGAAGATTGTCCACTTCCTAAATGACTGGCTGGGATTTGTGACCCTGCTGGAAAAAAAAAAACATTTCCTGGTTATTACATCTCAACGCCAGAGTTGGGTTGTAACTAGTTACATTTACTTGAGTAACTTTTTGGACAAAATGTACTTTTAGGAGTATTTTTACTTTTATTTTAGTAACTTTATTTTGTTAGGACTTTTGCCAGATTAACCGCATCATAAATTAAAACAAATAATTTCCATTTGAATGATTTATTGTTTTTTTCTCTTTCTACTAAAAACAGATGATAAAAGTTTTCAGTCTGGTGTTTTTGTCTCAACTAGAGCATTTTTTAAGAACAGCTTTGTTTACATTTGTTTTTCTTTTATTTATTTTGGATATTTAAAATGTCTGCCAGTTCCAGTGTTACATATTCACTAGCATTTAACATGTATTAATCTCTGAGAATGTGTTCTTGCATTATATTACTCAAAAATTGTCTCAAAACATCAATATTATCGTTTATTGCGATAACGTCTGGGACAATTTATCGTCCAGAAAAATGGGCTATCATGACAGGCCTGTTGCTACACTTAGTAGTTATGGAGACGATGATGCAAGGAAGGATTTTACATAAAATCAAGAAAATTATGAGCATCAGCGTCTTGAAAAACAGAGTCTGCACCAAAACTCTTTATTAATAAACTTTCACATTTCGCCATAACCACAAAATTCTGTGTATTTCTTCATCATGTTTTGTTTTAATTTTTTACTAATAATTGTGTAGCATGCATTTGTTTCTATGCCTCTCTATTCAGAAACTCCTAAACAAAATCTAGGGATATGATTGTTTTTCTAACAAAACCTTTTTAAGCGTGCGGTGCAACCACAAACTGATGAGACAAAGAAAAACTGAGGAGCTTGTTGTGTGTGTCAGCTTTATCCTCCTATTATTCAGCCTCTGCTTACCTGTGACCTCAGCTGCTTTTATTTTTATCTCTGCAGCAGGGTGAGGACTCTCTGCTTCGTAAATGAGGGCCCAGCGGGAGCTTGTTGATGCTGCACATCGGCTTTTCGGTCATTTAGACGGAAAACTAGAGCACTGCATGCCGTTTTATTTAAAGATTTGAAAAAAACCACACCTGGGCTTTGGGTTTATGTGTTTCTGGAAGGAATGTTTAAATATAACAGCAGCTAAATCGTCACAACGACTGATTTTTCTGAACCAGTTCTTTGCTGTTTTAAAGCGTGTTTAATTTAAAGAGTCCCCAGACGACTAGTTGAGTTTGAGACTTTGGACTCGAGTCGCATTTCAGGCTCAAAAATAAAATTTCAGACTTGACTTGGACTCGTGGTCAGAGACTCGAGTCCCAGTTTTTATCAGATTAATGAAGAGTGACAGGAAGGCGATGTCTGAGCTAAAAACCTTTACTGCGAAACAGTGAGCTGGATTACTAGCCAGTGATGTTGGTGGATTATTATGGGATGTTAGCGACTCATAGCAATCTGTTCCTGTTAGCGTTAGCTTCAAGACTGCATGAATGTCTCTCCAACAGAATGACTGTGGATCATTTCACAACAAATTAAACGTAACCTACCAACTGCTAAGCTATCTGCTAAATTACAGGGAAATATCAAAATAAAAGCACTACCCGTTTCTCTTATTTAGACGTTTAATACTCATTTACTTCCTCCACTTTGTCACTTTCTTTGTGTTGCTATTTATACCTTAAATTTGAACATCTTTGCTATTTAGAAGTCTGAAGAAATAATTCCCCAATATTGTAAAGATTTCTCCAACTCAGAAGAAGAAAACAATCCAAATCTGATTTAATCCAACGATGAAGTTGTTAATTTAATCACTATAAATGCTAAAAGTTTAAATTCATCATTAACAGCTTTTGATTTCTTTCTAGTATTTTTCTATTCCTAATTGGTAAATCTGATCAATTTTCATATTAATATAAATCAGGCTTTAGCAGATTTTTGGATCATTAATTAAATGTGAAATGATTAAAAGATAATTGATAATAAAAAAATTATAATAAATATTGATATTAGTGTAATAGTTGCTTCTATGTTGGTTACAGAAACTAAAATGTTGCAGCTGGAAAGTTGGACATTCATGGACTTTTTTTTTTCTCAGCGCAGGAAGAAGTTTAAACTTTTTTTTAAATTATTTTTTGCAGGGATTAAAATCTCTTCGATAGTTCTGAAGAAAAACGAAATCCAGTCACTGTGAAATGAGAACGTTATTAATATTTCTGACCTTTTCTCAGAAGCACGGCTCATTACCCCGGTAACCAATCAAGGTGCGGCATGCTGCTGCATTACATGCCTCCATTATATAAATTAGCTATACCTCTGCTCATTAGAGTTTTTTCACTACAATGTCTCTGATTGGACCTCTGGGGCTTAATAACACGGGACCAAAGGTTCTTTTTATTTCTGAAAAAAGATGCTTAATGGAACTGGAGTTCAGAAATATTGAAATTTACCTGAGAGATTCTTCAGTTCAAGTAGGAAACCTGTGTTGGGGCTACAGCTGCATCTTGGCTCTAGAACCAGTTTAATTTTCCACAGCCATCTGCTACTTTGCACATAAAATCCCAATAAAATGCATTGAAGTTTTCCCTGTAACAAAGCAAAGTGGTACCGGTGTCAGTGGGTGGGAATACTTTTATGAGGCGCTGTAGGGTTTTACACAAAGCACCAAAATGGCTCCCATCGCAGTGATGCAGCTCGATGAATCAATGAACGAATGCTGTGAAAGCATTTGTCTGTATTTCTAAATGCTGCCAGGCCTTCAATTAATTTCACCACATGGTGTTTATAATTTAAAACGGTTGGTGCAAAACTTCTGATCGAATGTCAAAACTGCCATTCAGGATTACAGATATCTGTAAAAATTAAAATCAACCAAACTGGTGGTTTTAAGTAGTTTTTTTCTTATATATATGAACACCAGAGCAATAGAGGCTCAGATCTACCACACCAGAAAAGACCCAAGGAGTAGGTTGTGCAAAGAGGCCTCTGAGACAGTCCAGCACATAACAGCAGGGTGCAAGATGCTGGCATCTCAGTCCAGAAATGTGCAGTTCTAGGCACAGCCAAGATACTGCGCAGAACCCTCAGGCTCCCAGGCCTCTGGTAGAGGACCCGAGCTCAGAAGATGAGCTCCTCACCCGCGGAGGGCGAGAAGGGAATTTTTATTATATATATATACATATATAGATATATATATAAAACCACTTGTAGAACTGGAAATGCTTTAGTTGAAAACCAAAACAAACTGTTTGTGTCTTTATTGTGTTTATCTGAAGCAAAAATCTTTAAGAGTTTTTTCATAATTGTTTTATTTTCAATTGCTTTGCTTCCACATCAACATGCTGCATGGTTTCCATGCATCCTTAAAAAGTTTTTAAGAGTCTAAGGTATCTAAAAATAAGGCATTAAGGTGTCTTAAATTCATTAAAACAAATTTTAAATGTTAAAGTGTTAATCACTGGTCTGAAATTTTGTCATTTCCTCCTCAATAGTTTTTCATTCTTGTATATATATTCCAGTATATCAGAATAAAGTTACTAACTCATTAATCCTCCAATTGATTTCTGTTTATTTCTGATTTTCCAGGTCTGACGACGCTTTGTGGCAGCGATCTATTTTATTTTCAATTTCTTTGCTTCCAAATCAAAATGATGCGGGGCGTCCTTTAAAGGTCTTAAACTAATCTATCTAAAATTTGGGCCTTAAAATGTCTTATATTCAGTTAAAAATGTAAGTGGGCCTTAAATACGTTAATTGCAAATCTTAAATTTTGTAATTTCTTCTTCAATTGTTTTCTACTCATGCATTGCGTCCTGTTTTTAATTTTCAATATCTTTGCTTTCAAATTAACATGCTGCGTGGTTTCTGCACATCCTTAAAAAGTCTTACACATATCTAAAATTAAGGCCTTCAAATGCCTGAAAGTGATTTTTACAAAATTAAGTCGGCCTTAAATACGTTAATTGCGAATCTTAAATTTTGTCATTTGTTCCTCAATAGCCTTCTGTTGTTATAAATATTCATATATTTGATAATAAATCCTCAAGTTGATTTCTGTTTATCTCTGGTTTTGCAGGCCTGACGACGTGCTGTGGCAGCGTTCCCATGACACCAGCGTCCTGCTGCACTGCGTCCTCTGGCCAATGGTGTCTCTCCTTCTGGGCACGCTCATTGTGCTGCTGACGGTTTGCGCCCGCTCCCTGGCCGTCAGAGCCGAGGCGCTGCAGAAGAGAAAATGCTCCTACGAGGTTTGCCAGGACTTGTCCATCACCACCTCTGATCGCCGCGGCAACAAACCCGGGGACCTCCTGGCAACGAACTCTGACCCCGAGCTGTCGTCGCCATCAAGGACCCTGCCTCTGTTTGAGGTACCAGTGAGGCGACGGGATCGGGAACATTAAGCCAGAGAGGAAACTTGGTTTCTCAACTGGAGCCGCTGATGGGCGACTGGACGCCACGGAGAAGCGACAGCCGCAGTGAAGGGCTGCTGTGATCTTCATCAGGAGGAAGATGAGGGTAAATCCACTCTGGTTCACCTGAAACACTCTAGCAGATCTTCTCATTCAGCCTGATCAGCAGGAGCTGAATCCACCTCAACCGGTCCCATAATTCATCCTAAATTAGAAAGGATGGAAGGAACTCATCCTTTCTAATTTAGGATGAATTTCCTATCAAAGCTTTTATTTCTCACATTTACACTGCAAAAACACAAAAAATTACCAAGTAACTTTGGTCTGGTTTCTAGTCCAAATATCTTAGCACACTTGAAAGAAGACAAACTAACTTAAAAGTTACACACCGAATTCCACTGCACATCTATGTGTTACGGTTGTCATAGTCAAGCTAGCATAACTGAACTACTTCCCTTCCACTCGCTATTTTTCTGTAATTAAAACTGTTTCCTGACCTTGTTATCTAATTGTCAATTATTAAGATTTAGTGTGTTATTTTAATAAATTAACAGCTAAAATTAATGCTAGTTAGCAAGCAGCTTTTTGCCTACAGCCAGGAGATGGTGTGGGAACTTGCGACGTCACGCTGGAAGGAGTCTGTAGTTTGCTAAGAAGTTACTTTTAAGTTAGTTTTGCTGTATTTCAAGTGCACTGAGATATTTATGCTACAAACTAGACCAAAAATACTTGGTAAGATTTTGTGTTTTTGCAGTATATTACATTTTTCTTTGTTAAAAGCAAAGAGTTTCTATATTTACTCATTATTTTTTGGGCAGGGTAATTAAAGCAGGTGCGATCATTTAAATAAAGAAAAAAAAAACTCTCCTTTATGTATTTGCTGAGCTTTCACTTTGCACTTCCAGTAATCCCCAAGAGAGCTCATTATAAAACAAGAAAGTGCTTCTTCTAGTCTGATCCGGTAGAATATGCAAAACAACAGTAAATCCACTAATCACAACCAAAGCAGATCTCCAGCGCAGATTGTTTTCCTTCATTGTTTATCAGCAGCGACGCTTTTCTTACATTATTCCACTTCAGAAATCACAAAGAACTTTAGATATTTAATCTTGATTAATCTTACTATTGTTCTTGATAAAACTGAGTCTTAATGTTTGTTGGACTTTTCAGAAAGATGTATTGATAAAATTAGACTTAATCTTTATTTTATAATCAGTTTTATCGTGTAAAATGCATTATTTGTCTATAAGATTTGAAAAGAGACCAAACATCTCTCAAGCTTCGTTTCCATTGACCACTTAACTGCGCCATTTACATTTGAAAATAAATGTGCTTAATGGAAGCGTGGCAAGAATGTTTTCGCTTTTTATTGTAGCTTTTTGTGTAAAAATGCATTTTCCTTCTGAATCCCAGCAGCCAAAATGTTTCATGATCGCCTCTGGAGGAATTACATGTGAATATTATTGGATGTTTGGTTCCTGATCATCATCCATTCCTCTGTGTTAATGTTATATTTCACGACTCGCCTAAAACTTCCCTCCATTTTATATTTTTTTATAAAAACTGAAAACGGCTCGATGAATTAAAGCCCTAACTGTAAAAGTTCTGAGAACATAAACGACCGATGGAAGATTAGCTTTGATCTATAATTAGATGGTTTTTAATTAACCGAAGCTGATTTTCCTTTGATAATATTCATCTCAATCATAATTGAGATGAATATTATCTCAATTGATAATCTCCAAGATTCAAATAAATTATTTTTTTATCCAAATGTTCATAAATGGATCTGTGAATACTGTTCACAATTAGGTTACATCAATTTATAAATATCAATCAGATCAAAGTTTATAAATCTAAATCCTGTTAGATCCAATCAGATTTCATAAATACTGATCCAAACAGAAAACTGAATTTTCTTACCAGTTCTGGTTTAAAACTGGAAAACCATCAGCTGCATTGGTTCACTAACGCCTCATTTCCTCTGAGCGGTTCTTAATGCAAACCTCCTTCATAAAAAAGTCAAACCATCCTTTTAACATCAGTTGTTTGTTTTTTTTTCCGTTTCATAAAGTTGTAATTCAAAGGAAACTGCTCGTTTTTAAAATGTTGTCAGGTTTCCAGACGGAGCGGGTCTGAATGTAGCTTCATGAAAACACTTAGTGCCTCCTCTTCCTCTGTGACTCGGTGCCATGGTGTCTTCCTATCGCTTTTACTTCCCTTTTTGTTCTAATTGTAATTTCATTTCCACATTTCCTGTTTTCTAATATCTATGTGTGTTTGTTCCTTAGTCAGCCTGGAAGCTGATGTGATTAAAAAAATGTTTATTTTAGGAGAGTTGATTATTAGTTTATAGATTATCAGTTTTTATCTTCCATTATGTCAGCAGAAATACACTTAAATTGTTTGGTTGTGTCTCAGTCATTACATTTGAGTTATTTTGTTCAAACTTAAACATTTAATAGTTGCAATGAACCACTAATATATTTCTATAGAATGCCCTGACATTTTACTATTTTAGTAGTTAAATCAGTGAGTTTAATTCATTTTTTCGTTATCTATAAATAATGTTTGTTAATTTGTAAATTTTTCTCTTTGTTCATCTAAAGAAAATGTAGCTTCACTGTAGCATTGAACTTTCAAAGCTTTCGTCATGTTTCCACCTGGGATTAATGAAGCTAGATTTACTATTTAAAGCCATATGCTGAGCTGTAAACTGCTGTAGCAACAAAACACAACAAATCTTTGTATTTATTCAGATTTTAACTGTTTCTCTGTTGAAATGTTGACTTTATTTTTCCTGTGAAGTCAGTAGCTGATGGTTGAGATGAAATAAAGTGTTTGTGTCGTTATAATGAGCGAGCAGCTTCGGATCTTTGTGTCGTCCCGTCTGAACCTCAGCTCTGTGTCATGTGACCCAGGTAGCTGCTTCGCTTCGTGTTTCACTGATGAACATGATGACTGCTGTGCCTGATAGATAACTTTAAATAAAAACTAACTTTATCTGAAACAGTGTCACTCTACTTTATTCTTCTAGTCTGTTTCATTTTGTTTCCCACAGAGACGGAGCAGCAAACCAAATTCAGAAATCAAATTCTCAAATCTCTGAGATTAAAGTCAAAATTTCTGAGTTATTTTTAGCAAACTTTCAACTTTCAAATTGTGAAATTTGTAATTTTTTTCTTGAAAAATTCTGAGATTTAACATTTTTGAATTTTTTCAAGAAACTTTCAACTTTTCAGACTCAGAAACTTCCATGTATTTTCTAGAAGATTTTTGTGATTAAGTTTGACACTTCAATCTGAAAAATTTCCAAGTTTTTCTTGAAAAAATTCTGAGATTAATCTCAAAAGTTCAGTTTTTTTCTAGCAAATTTTCAACTTTTCAAGCTCAGAAATTTACGATTTTTTTTAAATGTCAAGATTAATCTACAAATTCTACCAAATTTTTGACTTTTTGAACTCAGAAATTTTAGATTTTAAAGTTGCAATGACAGACTCAACCACTAGGCGTCACTATGTTCTAGGTAAATTAAAAATGTACACAAAAAGCTTGTTTGAATCTGAAATTGTCTGTTTGCAGAAACAAAGTAGCACATTTTGTCACACACATCTGCTCGCTGTCCTTCCTTTTATCTGACCATCTTCATCTTCATCGTTTCATTCACAGATCAGATGGAGGATGAATGGCCTCCAACTGAAACAGCTGCTGTCAGGTCTGAGTCACTACACTCACTCTTTGTTTTCAATGAATATTCAGAGTCACATGTTGACACTCATTCAGCCGGACTGCAGTGTTTAATGCCAAACCACTTACTCAGAGCTCGCTGGGATCAAACTCACTCGCTTTGATTTGTGTCTCAGTTTGTCATAAACTCAGCACATTTACTCACCGGAGCGAGTTCTGCTGAATGCATCTCATCTGATTCAAAACAGCTTGAAGTCTCCAAATGTGTGCTTTTAAATCAAGCCACTGTCTCTGTCCTTACCCAGATAGCACAGAATGATTGAAACAACATTGAATCAATGTCAGCCAGAAACATTGAATCAACGTTGAACGC